TATTCTGACCCTTCCTTCATATCTGAATGTCAATTTTCAGTTGTCATATTTTCTCTTCAGTCACCCCTCTTCCTTTTTTCCCCTTTTCCCGTTTTCTATGATATCTCACCTATTCTCTCTCCTCCTTGTTTTTCATTAGCTTTTCCCCTTCTCATTCTACCGACTTCCCCTCGTAGGATTTCTCGAGTTCTCTCGGTTATTCCCCTTTACTCTTTGTTGCAATCTGATGCCTGTCCTTTGTGTCTTTGTGGGTGCGTTTTCTTGTCTCGAGGTTTATATTTCCCTGTCTGTCTGTCTGTCTGTTTGTCTGTTTGTGTCTCGTCTGTCTCTGTCTCTCTGGATATAAACATGTACATGCATACATATGTATATGAGTGTGTGAGTGTGTGTATGTGTGTGTGATACATACCAACATACACACACACACACTTATATATGTGTGTGTGTGCGTGTGTGTTGTGTGTGTGGTTGTGTGTGTGTGTGTGTGTGTGTGTGTGTGTGTGTGTGTGTGTGTGTGTGTGTGTGTGTGTGTGTGTGTGTGTGTGTGTGTGTGTGTGTGTGTGTGCGTGTGTGTGTGTGTGTGCGTGTGCGTGTGCGTGTGTGTGTGAGTGTGTTGTGTGTGTGTGTTCATGTGCGTGTGTGTGTACTCCCCTGCACGCGACCAGCGAAACACAAAAAGAATAATGAGATTCAAAAGAGACAACCGACATACGGGAACTTTGCCTTCGCTAACGACGTAAATTAACTTTATCAGAATCTTTGGCAATTTCTTTCTTGCACAAGAGTATTTCCGTTTTTTTTTCTCCTTTTTTATTCTTTCTTATTAATTTCTAACGATTAAAAAAATGGTCTTTTTTAGTTGTGAATGTAAATGGTTTTTAAAAAGAATATTAGTGGGTTATAATTCCTTGAAAGATCTTGGATTTTTACCCACCCACACATTTACCCACCATGAGCCACCCTATGTGCTCACCTTGCCCACCTTCGCCCCACCCGAGGCTAGTCCCGACCCACCGTGACTTGACCCACTCTAACCCACCCACTCTTATCCACTCCCGCCCATCCCCCACTTCGCCAACCCACTCTCCATAATGTTTAGATCCACTTTAGCCACGCCTACCCACCTTGCCCACGCTTGCCCACCTTACCATCCTTGCCCACTGCAGCCACCCACCATACCCATCCCCTCCCTTCTCCCCCCGCAGACAACTGAAACCTTCCCCGACTTACCCACTCTTCTCCATCCACCTCATCCACGCTCATCAATTTCCTCACCCACCCCTCACTCACCCGTCACCCACACCCATTACCCACCCATCACCCAATCAACACCCACCCCACAATATTTACACCACACCAACCCCCCTCTCTCTCCCTCACAGACAGCTCTCCACCCTCACTCACTCTTCTCCACCGTCACCCACCCTCACTTACACCCACCCTTCACCCACTCCCTCATCCCACCCCTCACCCACCCCCACCCCCCCTCACCCACCTAACACCCACCCCTCAAACCCCTCCTCACCCCCAACCCACCCCTCACCCACCCCCACCCACCCAACACCCCCCTCATATACCCGAACAATATTTACCCCCCTAACCCCCCGAACAATATTTACCCCCCCACTTACCCCCCTCTCTCCCCCTCTCTCTCCGTCTCACAGGCAGCTGAAACCGGACCCGACCCACAAGAAATACCGGACGGCCGTTAAATGGAAGAACCTGAATCCGGAGTTCAATGAGGAGTTTGTCTTCGAAGTCCGGAGGAACGAACTGCCCAAGAAACTTCTGGATATCCGGGTATACGATAAGGACGTGGGCAGGAGCGATGACTTTATTGGTAAGGGGAAGAATTTTGTTGGTAAGGGGGAGAATTTTGATTGTTTTTTTTTTGGGGGGGTAATTTTTTTGTTTGTTTATTGATTGGTGAACTTTAAGGTTTTTGTTTTTGTTTTAGTTTTTTCTTTTTTTTTCTTTAGTTTTGTTTTCATTTTCCTGTATTTATTATTTTTTGTTTGTTTATTGGTGAATTTTGATTTTTTAAATATTTTTTAGGGGGGTAGGGGAGGGGGGAGAGTTTCGATTTTTTATTTTGTTCTATTTATTTATTTTATTATTTTTCGTTTCTTTAGGATTTAAACCTTTACCCATTTTTTGTGGTTGTTATATCATCTAGTTGTTGCTCTAGGGGGGGAGGGATTGGGATTTTTTGTTTTTTTAATATTTAGGATTTTTCGTTTTTAAGAGATCTGGGATTTTTCTTTCTTTCTTTTTCTTGTGAGATTTTTTGTTTGTGTGTGTGTGTGTGTGTTTGGGATTCTTCGTTTTTTTCGATATTCTTTTCGTTTTGGGGGAATTTCTCGTTTTAAGGGATTAGGATTTCTCGATTTTTTGTCAGGGATTTTTCGATTTTTGTGTCAGATTTTTCGTTTTGTAGTTGATATTTTTCGTTTTCTAGGATTTGGGATTTTTCTCTTTCTTTCTTTCGGATTTTTCTTTTTCTTCGTTTTTTCAGGATTTTCATTATAGGATCTGGGATTTTTTGGGGGAGGGAATTTTGGATTTCACGTTTGTGAGGGATTTAGGATTTTTTTTTTCTTTTAGGATTTTGGGTTTTCATCTTTTATTTATTATTATTATTATTTTTTTAGAATTTGGGAATTTGGTATTTTTGCTACTCATTATACTTATTCTTTCCTATTTGCTTGTTTGTTTGTTCACTTTGTCATTCTTTAGTTATAATTACTTATTTTGTTACTTATCTGCTTTCTTCATGCAGTTTAATTAGTTTTTTTTTGTTTGTTTGTTTTTTTTCTTTTTTTTTTTACTTTCTCTGTTACTGCAGTCGTTCATTTGACTGGTTATCTATTCTTACTATCTACTATCACACACACACACACACACACACACCACACACACACACACACACACACACACACACACACACACACACACACACATATATATATATAATATATATATATATATATATATATATATATATATATATATATATATATATATATATACATACATATATATATATATATATATATATATATATATATATATATATAATATATATATATATATATATATATATATATATACATATATATACATATATATACATATATATACATATATTTATATACATACACACACACATATATATATATATATATATATATATATATATATATATATTATATACAGAACACTTTCAATATAAAGCAAGACAACAACAGAAATCTTACTTCGTAAACGTCTCTCTGACTAATTTCCCTCGGCTTCCCCCTTGACAGGCGGCCTGCAACTCTCCCAAGACAGCACCGGCTCCGAATTACGACACTGGTACGACGCCCTGCAATACCCCGACCGCAGACACGACCGTTGGCATCAGTTGCAACCCCTGAACGGAAAATAAGTCTTATTTATTTATTCATTTTGCAAGAATTTATACATAAGGAGAACCATTATGCAATCGCCTGTGAAGGAAATGGACCAGAGAGCGTTGTGGATTGGTGCTGGGTGAATTTTTTTTTTTTTTTTTTTTTTTTTGAGGGGAAACGAAGTCAATCCTATGCGTTGAGGGGAGTTCAAGGGACGTTTCGTATGTAATAGGAGATCGGGAGAGAGAGAGAGAGAGAGAGAGAGAGAGAGAGAGAGAGAGAGAGAGAGAACCCTCATACTTGGCTTCCACTCTAATGGTCTGTTTCGTTAAGAGATCACAAGATGGACAATCAACCGAAACAAGAAAGGAAAAAAAAAACACAACGTCGTTCGCAAATTCTCCATAATCAACGTTGCAAAACCTGATGCAGTGTGGACCCTCCCCCCTCCCCCCCCTACCCGTAAACCAGCCCCCCTCCCCCTCCCCTCTGCCCCGTAAACCAACCTCCCCTCCCCGTCCCCCCCCTCCCCCCCTCCCTCCACCTGCCCTTCCGGTTCAAGAAAGTGAATCACAAACTTTTCTTCTTCTTCTCATCTAAGAAGTTTGAAAATATAAGGAAAAGAACATGAAACAAAAGAAAAAAAAGAAGAAAACCAAGGAAGAAAGATGCTTTTACGAGTGCTCAGGGAAAAGCAAAATAAATAGATAAATAAAATCCCTCTATGAAAATTAACTTACGTAATGAGATAATTTTCAGCATCTGAAGGCATTCTTCTACCCTCCTCTAGTTAGACAAAAGTGTGCATAAGTTTTTACTCTTTTCTTTATCTCTATCGTGAAATTCTGAAGAAAAAAAAAGTTGGAAGACTGAAAACGCTTCAAGACAGTGTACAGATACCCTTTAGAGGCTGAAAAAAGAGATACGTGAATATAATAAAGCTAAAAAATAAACAGTGAGAACCCGCGAGTGTGTTGGACCCTATTCACCATTGCAGATGCTCTTTCGTCGAGGGAAACTCCAAGAATCTTTCGCGAAGAAGACGCAAGACTTGGCAATAGGTCGTGATAATGTTTTCTGTACTGTGTGTGTCTCCACTTGAAAGTCGGTAGCAAAACTCTTCCTCCTTGTAACCCCTGTAAAGAATAATAATAAATGAGTAAATAAAAGATGACAGTCGATGGCAACACCGTCTATTGAGTTGACAGTTAGGGTGATTGGGTTGCTGTTCACCAAAGTTCGTGTTTTTCTCTGTACAATACACTTTTGAAACAGCTGGAAACGGACCAAACGTCTTCTGACCTGATAAGTATTGAACTACAGTATGATGTGAATTTTAGTATAATCTATACCTAGATCGATTATTTTACGTATACTAACTGTTGCTGCCATGAAAAATGTGTATAAATATTATATAAATTAAACTTTGTCTGGTCTGGCAGGCAAATATCCACGCCCGTTCACCTACATGCATTTACAGATGAATAACATAGTGCTAGCAAGTGTTATCAATATTTCCCAGTTTCTTTGGTGACATAGAAAATGGGATCCCCAGTGACCGTGTTTTTGGGTCGTGCCCAGAAAAAGGGTATGTTGTTTTGTGCCCAG